GTTTCATGTCACGAGGATATATATTAACATATAAATATAAGATATTTTAAAAACAGATCACCATTTCAGTCTTTAGTTGCTTCATAAAAGGAACAATTAACTGGTTTGCGGCCGATTTTTGACGCTCGCGTCAATATATGTTTCTTGTACGGTATGATATGAAAGTTTGAAGTCGCTGTGCGTTTCTGCGGAATTAAAACAATCTAAATAAAAATATCTAACATTAATATAATAATATATTAAAAAGAGTGTCTAAATGTTTAACAAGAATGCACAATAAACATAAAATTAATTTTTTTTTAGAGAATGAGGTAAATATTTCATCCAATCCTGCTTGAGAAACTTAGACAGGTAGCACTGGTTCTCTGCCCTTGATTCCAGTCGCTGCCGCTAGGTTTTTTAGGGCGCTTGCGCCCGTTAACCAATGTCAGGGCACCAGTCTAACATGTTTGAGGTGCGGAGAAAATTAGGACATGTGTTGGGCATAGTCTAAAGCAAAGACCGCGTTATGTATATTTATGTATATTATGTATAATGTATATTGCACAATTTTACTTTCTCTATTTAAACAGGATTTGTCGTATGTATTTATTTTAAAATGACGTGTTCACGTGTACATATATAAAAATTTTCAAAAATATGGTTTAATGTTAATTCATCAAAAGACCTAGCGAGCTACAGAATATTACAAGATTTGGCCATAGCAGACGAGGATAATGCGCGATTTACAATGTGCCAAGAATTTTCCCGCTACAACTCAAAGAAACTGAAAGAGAAGAAATGTAGTGGCGGATCTAGAGGGAGTTTAGTTTTTTCCTCTAAGAGAGAGCAAGGAGCCCCTTATATTTGTTGCGTTTTTATTAAATTAAAACTACACTGCATATCTAGTTGTAGATTACATTAAACTTTAGTTTTAAACTTTTAATGTAAATGCCTCTTAATTATACAGGCCCACGGTTTGTTGACTCAGAGGACCAGGGGTACTTTGCTTATATATACATGTAATACTGAACATGAATTATATAATTAAGAAAATCATGCAATGTCGTGCACAAGCGTTTAATGTCACGAGGATATATATTAACAGATAAATATAAGATATTTTAAAAACAGATCACCATTTCAGTCTTTAGTTGCTTCATAAAATTAAAGGAACAATTAATTGGTTTGCGGCCGATTTTTGACGCTTGCGTCAATATATGTTTCTTGTTTACCCCTGGCAGGCAATCGGCAATCCTCGGCTGACTCCGCTACGCTCCATTCAAACCTCGGATGTGATAGGTGGAGGAATACGCATCAGATCGCTACATTTCTCCGCCGGAAAGTGCCTTGTCACTCATTTCATATTTCGCTCTGCCTAAAGTTCTTAGTAAAGGTTTCTTTATTTGTGTAATTCCTCGTGTTAATTATAACCAAATGTTAGTATTCTTTGAAAGTAAGAACACAGTGTTGGGCGTGCATCAAAGTAACTGGGATTTAAAAAGTATAATATTTGAATGAAATTCAAATAAGATCACATGACTGAATCAGCAAGATGGAAGATCACCGTTGACGTCCGAGGTTATGTGCGAGGTACATCTGATTTAGTAATAAACACACAAATTTGTCAAAGTTTTTACGTATTAATGAATTCATTTAAACCTAGAAAATGTGCCTGAAAAGTTTGAATAGTTTCTGTGCACCTTGAAAAGAGAAATCGCCAAAAATCAAAATCCCTGACCGTCGGGCTTCGGGAAGACGGGTACAAGTTAAATCGGCACCTGGTAAAATCGGCACTTGATAAAAAAGTCAAATCGGCACCTAGTGAATTCGGCACCTGGTAAATTCGGCATCAGAATCTGGTGAATTCGGCACTTATTATTATTTATTTTACATTTGATGCATAATTGCCAATTATTTCGTTTTTGTGACAATTGTGATGAATAGAATAAAATTGTTTACATAGAAACTTATCAATAAAATATTAATAAATTAAGTAATTGACATTCGCGTAATTGTCAAAGTAATAAAATTGTCAAAGGGGCTACGTACGACGGTAAACTTGTGTATCCCTAGTACACGAGATATAGGGATAGGTGTCACAGTATGAAGACTGAGGAGGATGAAGAAATTCCAGCAACAAGCAAGTTCAGGTGTCACTTTTACCAGTACACAAGGTATAGGGTGAGGTGTCAGAAAATGAGGAGGGTATATTTGATGGTTTTAAATTCAACATATCACTTGTTTCTACATCGCCAAGAATATATCAACAATGACAGGTATGTAAAAATAATTTTTATAAAACACATTTACGATGTGGTCTAACATTAAAATGCACAGATTAATTTGCTCTATTGTCCCCCACGAAAATTTGTGATGACAATTATCATAATCCAAATTTTAATTAAAAAATTCAAAATTTATGGAGGAAACTAGTTCAAACAATGGTTCAAAATGAAATAGATCTACATTTATTTTATTAACCAAATATACGTAGAAAACTAAAAATTACGGGTGAAAAATGAAAAAAAAACTTCGATGAAAAAATATTTAATTCACGTAAAAAATAAAAAGAAAGAAAAGAATGGACAAGACAATAGGCAATTACCACAGTTTTATTTAGAGATTCGTTTTGTTTACAGCTTCGTTATATTTCAGTTTTCAAAATACATGTATGAGAGTCCTTTCCTGAACAAGTCCGTAATATTCATAATTGTTGTTGGTACAGATTTAATTTATTTATAATTAGAATTGAACTCTTATATATATATATATATATATATATATATATTTATAATGTATAATGATTATCAGGAGACTTAAGGATAAATTTTACAAGTACAAAGAAAATTGAGATTATGATTATTGCGCCGTTCGACATTTTTAATAACTTAAATCTGAATTTTTTGTAATAAACCATACATAACGGTAATATTTCAATTGCCAGATATTTTTTCCCAACTAATTTCAATTTTCTGTATTAAGTAATAATCATCTATGGTCATATACCAGGTGTGTTGCATCTCCATGATATAAATTTTTACAACCTAATTATGCGACCTCATGTAGATTTATATGAAGCTTACTGCTGTTTATATATTTATTTATTGTGCTTGAGTTGTTAATTCCATCTCTTTATTTTCTTAAAACCAGGTCACTGGTACAATAGTGTACAGATTTGTGCTAAAAGTGAAGATAATTTTATTTTTTCTCTATATATAATATTTGAAAACCTTTTTAAGGTACCCCGATCCTCAGGTTCCGAAAATCAAGCATTGACTAATTGAAAATGCTCACAAAAATGTCTCTGAATTTTCAAAGTAACATGTTTTTACCCATAATAATTCTTCAAACTTCATCAATCAAATTAATCATATTATATAGAGAAAAGTAGTAAATCTCAAATATATTTTCAGGAATTGTGATTAAAAACACCTGCTATGCATTTTCCAATTCAAATTTGATCAATTAACGCATTTTAAAAATAAAAATAATAGGTATCCAGGCTTTTGAAGAAATTCCACAATTTTTATACATATAATGTATTTTAAGGTCATACACAACGTAGTTTGAATTTTATTGGGTTCTTCCCTGGAATAGAAGAGTTCCACTTTATGAAAGACCTGTGTGCAATACTTTTAATGTATATATGTGGATTTGTACACCTCTCCTAAAACAAATTTTGATGGAAAAATTTCTGGAATTTATGTTTCGTAATTTTTGTAAATTTTTCTTTGAATAATGCAAAAATTTTCCAAATTTGATAGCTTTTCAAAACCCCTGGTAACGCATGCTGACTTTTTATCTAAGAACATGTAATGATATTATAAGTTTAAATGTATCTAATATATCTTGAAAAATTATCAGTAGGTAAAGTACCTTGCGTATGACCTTAATTTCTTTTATTTATGTCTATCGTTTTACCATGCAAAGTTTAAAATGATTCTCCTGTCATTGCAAAGCTCCATCAATCACTTCTTTTTTCATATCATGTAAATAAACATTGATATCTATGGTTAGATTAAAATGAACATCAATTTCTTGATATATGTAATTTTAAAATTCATTTAAAATTCATTTACGGGGTAAAAATTTCTACTTTTAATTAGACTTTTCCAAGAATTTCAAAAAACCTTGAAGCACATTGAGAGGTATATAATGAAAATTGTTGTATGAAACTTACAAATTTATACTAACTTATGATTTATTATTATGTTTAAAGTTAGATTTGAATTTCCTCTCAACAAAAACTCCAGGGTTTCTGCAGCGCAGTATCTGGGTAGATGGCAATCGCCATATCATTTTTTACACTGAGAGACAGTTGCAGTTGTTAGGCAAGGCAAAGACATGGTACATGGACGGCACATTTCGTGTGGTTAACAACCCCTGGAAGCAGTTGTTTTCAATTCATGCTTTTGTTAAATCTGGTGACCACATGAAACAAATACCCCTTGTTTTCTGCATCATGTCTGGAAGGAAAAAAGAAGATTATTACCAAGTAAGTCATTTATTTAAAAGTACATGTAAAAAAATATAAATGTATACATATTGTTAAATATGATTATTCAAAATCATTAGTTAAGTATTAAATGTAGTAATTGTAGTTTCATACATTATTTCAATCAGGTACTGAGGTTCATTGACTATCAACTGCCAGAGCATATTTCTTTGAGAGGTTTCGTGGCAGATTTTGAGGCTGGTTTATGGCAAGCACTGAGAGAACGCTTCCCCCATCATGCCATTCAAGGCTGTGCCTTTCATTGGTCACAGGCTGTCTTCAGGAAAGTCCAGGAACATGGTCTACAGGTACATAAAATAAGTAGATAAAGCTAATCCAAGTTATTTTCAAGTCTATTTCTCAAATGATGATTAGAATCTCTACAATTTTTCGTAAACAAAGAAAAAAAATAGGAAAGCTTAACTATTAAATAATAATAATTATGACACTGATTAGATCTATGAATAATTCTTTTGCATGGCAATTTGGATTTATGTATTACATTATGATTAATGTTAACTGAATGTTTACGTACACCTTTCAGAGAGCCTACAATGAGAGGAACGATGTGTACCATTTTGTGCCACAAGTTCTGGCATTGCCATTCCTTCCACCAGAACACATTGAGGACACCTTCCATCAACTGGATGCGCGAGCTCCAAGAGCCCTGGTACCTGTCATGGACTATGTCTACAGGACTTGGATCACCAGCACGGTATTCAAGATTGACTCCTGGAGCATATTCATGACAGCTATCAGGACAAACAATGATGTAGAAGGTTGGCATAACCGCCTTAATAGTGCCGTGGCAGTGAGAGGACCAGTGCCCTTTTACAGCCTTATTCAAGAACTCTACAGAGAGTCCAAGGACATTCCCCTGCAACTGAGGCTGGTGACTGAGGGAAAGCTGCAACGTTACCAGAGAAAACAATCCAGACATGTCCAGGGGAAAGTTTTCAAATTTTGGAACAAGTACTGTGAAAGAGAGATCAGTGCTAGTCGATTGCTCAAAGAGTGTGCAGCCATCTATGGACCTCCTGTCCAGTGAAAAACCCTTGTCACAATTTTTAAGTCTGAGAATGAATAAATATATTTTATTTTATACAGCATTTATAATTGCAGTTGTTAATTTTTTAAGTTGCCAAGATCAACAGTATATAAATAACTCTTCTTCCCTTTATGGATCGAATGAACTCAAAAGTTGAGTGTCGATACTCCAGTAAAAAAATTCTCATTCAGATGAAATTTGTTGGATACTTGTGCAATTTTTGCTTTAGAATACAATTTACTAGATTAGGATTAGAACTATATTTTTGTAAGTAATATTGTGTAATAGATGCCTGACTTGAGTAATTAATATATTGACTATTAAAAACTTGATTTTTTCCCCAGAAATTCTCATTATTGTTCTTATTTTTTAACATCGGATGCGGGATAAGTACTATGGTATATTTAATGTTTTATTATGAACATTACTAAAATAATATACAGTTACCATTAATTAGGCAACAATCCAATGGTAAAGACATGAAGGGAAAAAACGTGTGTCTCCACTGGCACGAGTATTTGTTGATTACATTATTTTGAATACCGATCCCGATTTGCTAAACATACCTGGTTGAGTATTTTTGAAAAGAAAGTTTACATTTCATACAAAATAGCAATTTTTATAACTGTTCCAACTGCTTTAAAGGCCAACCTTCTTAAGTGCCGATTTAACTAAGTGCCGATTTAACTAAGTGCCGATTTCACTAAGTGCCGATTTTACCAAGTGCCGATTTAACTAAGTGCCGATTTTACCAAGTGCCGATTTAATTAACTACCATTTTGTTGATATGACAGAGTACTGCATGAAACAATGCATGTTTAAATACAACATGTACAATGCCAAAAAAGATCATGAAAATATTTGTTTTTAATCTCAAAAAATTGTTTTTAACATTAACTCCAGATGAGAAAAGTTCATCATGTTATCTATAGATAATAAACAAGCACAACTACTGTATTAATATCATAAATAAAATGATTATCAGATTAATTATTTAGACACTAAAAAACTTACTATCTTTATGATATTGATTTCCATTATCAGATGTTTTTTATCCATTTTTTATCCATTTTAAAATATAAACATTTAAATAAAACAGAATTAAATAAATTAAAATGATATCTCATTGAAACTTTACCTTCAAGTTTGATTGTTTCTATGTTGGTTGACTAACTATGTATTTCCAAAGGAATTTGGGCAGACAGGCTGAACTTCATAGAGAATGGATTATAGATGGTTAGGAATAAAACATATCTTCCAGGTTGAGGACTGTAGAAAATATAATCATTTTGTTAATATGACAAGGAACTGCATGAAACATTGCATGTTTAAATACAACATGTACAATGCCAAAAAAGATCATGAAAATATTTGTTTTTAATCTCAAAAAATTGTTTTTAACATTAACTCCAGATGAGAAAAGTTCATCATGTTATTTAAGGAATGACTCTAATTCTTGGCCAGATTATCGAGTATAATATGGTTTGGGTCAGTTTACGCTTTAAATTCCGCGAAGCGGATTATAAAAAAGCGTAAACTGACCCAAACCATATTATACTCGATAATCTGGCCAAGAATTAGAGTCATTCCTTATAATTTAATTTTAAAATAATTAAACAACTGGGGATGTAAAATTGTGTTGTTTTTATTAGTTCAAATTTACCGCGCAATAATACAACCGTAGTAACGGAAGTGATGGGAAGCAAGGGGAGATAAAAACTGATACATAGATCTAGCAGCCATGATGCTTGTTTACATGAGGTAAGATCGAGCAACTGTTTGAAGTTAAAGGTACATTCATTAAATCTGGAATTTTTCATGAATCCGAAGGACTGGAAATGAGGGGATTGATGGATACAAATGATTCAGCTGGTTGTCAAGGGGGTGTGTCCCCATACCAAACCAGATTATACAAAATGTTATGCGTTCCTTTTTGGAAATCAACCAATGAGAGACAAGAATACAAACAGAATTAAATTATCTATAGATAATAAACAAGCACAACTACTGTATTAATATCATAAATAAAATGATTATCAGATTAATTATTTAGACACTAAAAAACTTACTATCTTTATGATATTGATTTCCATTATCAGATGTTTTTTATCCATTTTTTTTTTATCCATTTTAAAATATAAACATTTAAATAAAACAGAATTAAATAAATTAAAATGATATCTCATTGAACTTTACCTTCAAGTTTGATTGTTTCTATGTTGGTTGACTAACTATGTATTTCCGAAGGAATTTGGGCAGACAGGCTGAACTTCATAGAGAATGGATTATAGATGGTTAGGAATAAAACATATCTTCCAGGTTGAGGACTGTAGAAAATATAATCATTTTGTTAATATGACAAGGAACTGCATGAAACATTGCATGTTTAAATACAGTGCCAAAAAGTTCATGAAAATCATAAGTTCACCATGTTATCTTTAGATAACAAAAGAAGCACAGTTACTGTATTAATATCACAAATACAAAATGATTATCAGTGTAATTTTTAGACACTAACAGACTTTCTCTTAACAGCATATTCAATTTTGTTTAATACCTGTCAGTACAGCATACAAAAAGATATTAGCATATACAACATGTAGTCCTACATTTTTTGAAAAGCTCATTACCAAGAAACAAAAGTGAAAATGAAAATATATGTATGCCATATATACCACATATTTAGAATCAAAACAAGGATAAACCTTTTGTAGATTCTTACTTTTTCTTTTATTACATTCCTTATAGATCACAATTTAGTAAGTCTGAATTCCATGGGTAACAGACATAATGAATTATGACATTATATCATAATTTATGCAAAAGGACTTATTAACAATATGAAGTTTCCTTAGTATATTTTAGACAAAATAAGACTGTGCTTATATGAATGTTAGAGATATTAGATCACATAAGAATTACACAGTAATTAAATTAAACCATATAATCATGTTAAATGCAAAGATGACCTTCATAGGAAATGTAAACAAAACAAAGACAAACTTACCAGAATTATCCAATTATATGCCCAATTAAATAATCCAGTGAAACAACATCTTAGCTGATCCTGAAAAAAAGCATACAATATTCAGTGATACACAAATTAACCTCATTTTACAAAGGAAGTAAAGCAACAATTGACAAACAAACAGGACAGAAATGTAAAAGATACCATATGTATTTTACCAAAATTTAGTAAACATTTTTTCTGATTTAAATTCAATCACAGAATGACCCATCATAGTAATATTAAATACACTCTGGGTTACATGCAAATTATACCTTACATGAACTGAGAATAAATACCTCATTTACATTCATATAAACTGAATTTTACATAACTAATTACTCTTTTAACTGATGTCACCATTAGTATGTCAGAATATTCAGGGTGAACAAATCATACATATTCACTTTTAAAGTACTCAATATATATTTTACATGTTGATGTTTGAAATCACTGACTAAATAAAATACATACATGTATATACATGAAGGTTTATAAAAAGGGGGGCACACATGTTTATAGATTTACAGAGATGCTCAGACTGAGTTTTTCCCACTTTCATTGGGCCACTGTTGCACCAGAATGTAAAAATATGAGTGACAAATAAGGCAAAAGATTCTGTATATTTCATTAAAAAAGATTTGAGACAAAAGATTCATTGGCATAATATGATCTGATTGATTATCTCCATATCCTTCTTTTGGTCACTGTGATTAAAGATTCATAGAAATATTAGAAATAACAACTGAGAATATCACTTTAGTTGTTTTAAAAGCATGTATCAGTATTTTATAAGATATGCTAGGAGTCTCCTCATAAGAATATTTAGAATACTGATCCAATAAAAGGAATGTGAGACAATATGATCATAACTCATGCAAAAAAGATTTATCAACATTTTGAAGATCTTTAAGTGTCCTAGTGTATTTCAGGGTAAACAATGGCAGTGTTTGTATGAATGTTCTAAACATAAGGTATATAACACAGTAATAATGAATAAATACAAAGATGACCTTCATAGAAAATGTATAAAGAAAAGTTTGTTAAAACTTACCATGTAACCAGGTAACTCAGTAGAGTATTATTCATTAAATAATCCAGTGAAATAACATCTAGGCTGATCCAGGATTCAGCTGTTCAGAACTTTCTTGGAAGAAAAACGGTAGAAAATCAGTTTTGGTACTGAAACCCATAGGACCATACTGTTATTACATGAATTCTCAAGCGCTGTGAAAGTCTGTGTTATTGTATCAAAATAAGCAGCCATCGCGGCTTGTGAAGGACTAACATGACGTCGCTGCCAAGTTTATGACGTCACAATGCATAGGTAAGCATATTTTTTGCACAAGGCCCTAAACAAACTTGAATCGCTGCCAAGTATTTACCTGTGTAGTCAGCATAAAAAAAATCGTAGGTCTATCGTATTTTTTGCACAGGGCCCTTACAGATGATGCAACAGGTATAAAAGTCGCTGCCAAAATCGTAGTAGCAGCGTTGTGAATCGTAGTAGCAGCGTATATAGTATAATGTAAACACAGTGTAAACACACCCCCCGTATTTAGGGGGATTATATGTACTGAATTGACCCGGCTATCCCCCACAGACCCCCTAATCTGCACTCCCTTGACCCGCCTATCCCCCACAGGGGCTGCACTCCCTTGACCCGGCTATCCCCCCAGGGGCTGCACTCCCTTGACCCGGCTATCCCCCAGACCCCCAATCTGCACTCCCTTGACCCAGCTATCCCCCCAGACCCCCCAATCTGCACTCCCTTGACCCGCCTATCCCCCCCAGCCAATCAGAATCCAGCATTTTTGACCTCATTTGCATAAAAAGTGCACTCAGTTGACCCGGCCATCCAGACCGTTTATACTACTCATATGCAACCACTTGTAAAGTGGGTATTATGAGAATATGGTGAGAATATTATTTACACATCAGCTAGCTGTGTTGTTATGTACTGGGATAGAGAGGCACCCCTGTGTGTGTACATGCAATATATACACAGCTGTTGACACTTGGTCAAGTTGACAATAAACTTCTTTTTGATCAAACACCTGTTCTCAGCTAGTCTGACCAACCCCCCTCTGGCAGGGCATGTGTATATATACACTGAACCTTGACTATGCTCAATTGTTCTTGACTTTCATTATCAAATTGTAAAATAAATGATTTTTTAATATAATCTTTTTTTTAAAATAATGTTGATATGAAATGGTAATATGCTTTAAATACAAATTTTCATTTTAAGGACGTTAGCACACACATAAGGAAAATAAGGAAAATATGAATTTGATAATTTTGATACTAATATTAATAATGATAAATTAATAAAGACCTTTTAAACTAGTAATACCTGGAAAATATTCATAGTTTCCTTATGTTCCCAGCTCTAGCCACGTGGAGGCCTCCTTAATTGTAGAGCCATGATTTGAATTTTGAAGCAGCTAGAAAAATATTACAGTCAAAGGACCGAAAGATGACCGAAAGATTAAAAGAAAATTTAAAAAAAATTAAAAAAGACTTATTTTAATAAAGATACTTTATCATTATTCCTAGTCAATCTTTTGTTCATGTATAAACATATTACAGCCAAATGAAAGAAATTGACATAAAATTGAATAACATTATAAAAAATTTCATAGAAAGGAATTTATAATTTAATTAGCAACATAAAAAAAACATATGTTCCTAACCTAACCTATTCTAATCTAACACAACACCAAACAGTATTCACTGGTCTGCACCCGTCTGGCGGGGGAGGAATACTGCCTGATACTAACCCTACTCTAGAAAAAATAATAAATATACAATTTTAAAAACATTTTTGGGTTTTAATGGTTTAAGACTGGTTTAAAAGTGTTTCTGCAAGTGGGAGAAAAAGATATATAGTCATCTTCTCTGTCAGATATAGTGTTAGGAATCCAAAACATTACTGAAAAACTGTTAAGAAATGATTCGGTTCAGAAAATATTTATTGGAAGTCTGTTTAGGCAAATGATTTGTGGAACCATGGATCCAGGAAAGTACAATTCTACTGTTTTTGACATAAATAACGCACTACGAAGGAAATATGGGAATTCTCAGAATGTGATATTTTGGAGAGATGTAGGGGTTTAATGAATTCAAATAAAAACATTTGGCGTGAAGATGAAATTAGTTTGAACAGAGAGGCAATGGAAATTTTTAGTCGACAGATTCAACTGGCAATGAAATGTAAAATTACATAAAATACCAATGCTTGGAGATGATAAAATATGTTGGGGGTGGGGTGGGGTGGGGGCATTTAAAATTTGTACAGTCATGGGTTAATGTCAATCTAATTAATTTATAAATACCAGTATACCAACAAGTGTAATCCAGGGGCCTACTAACTGGAGCGGATCAAAGATCTAATTTTAATTAGATTGGGGTTAATGTATAAACTAAACGAACTAAAACTGATCTTGGACCCTCCACGTAGAAAACGCAGATCTAACATTTATATCTCTTTGTTTTTACAAATAAGATATGTTTTACATGCATAGATCTAGAGAGAGAGGTCCGGACCACCCCTCTGAACCCTCAGCAGTTGGCTGTCGTATATGGCATTCCATAAAAAGGTTACTTTGAAATAAAATATCTATATATTTGAAAATTGATATATTCTTTTAATTTACTATTTCTTTCCAGGTTTCAGTATTTTCATATTTTGACATTGATTTATTTTTTGTTCTCTTTTAACATTTAATTAATTATTATTTTCATTTTTAAAATTTAATTATTATTATTATTGCTTTGAACCTTTGAATTTCATACTTTTATATTTCTAAATTCATAAATTGTCTAAAATCTCAAAAATAAATTCAGTATTTTCATATTTTGAAATTTATTTATTTTTTTGTTCTCTTTGAAACATATAAGTAATTATTAATTAATTATCATTACTATTTATTACTATTATTTTTGCTTTGAAGCTTTTGGATATAATCATATCTCTAAATTATGAATAAAAAGCAAATTAGCAAGATAAGACTGTCATCACATAATTTAGCTATTGAAAGTGGACGCCATAGAAATATCTTGCGCGAAAACCGAATATGTGAAGTTTGTAGTTCTGAAATTGAAGACGAATTCCATTTTGTTTTAAAGTGTCCACGATACAAGGATTTACGAGTAAAATATATTAAAAAATTCTACTGGGAAAAACCATCTATGTTTAAATTCATACAGTTGTTATGTGTACATAATGTTAAGGACCTTTGTAATTTGGGAAAGTTTTTGTACCATGCTTTTAACTTACGTAATGAATGTCATACTGCCTTATAAACAATTTTTTAAAAAATGGTTTGTACATTCTCCATCATCATGATACTGATTGTATAATTATTATGCTGACTGTTAAAAAAAATACCTGCGCTATGCTTTACTGTTTACATGTTATAAATTTATATTGTATACAATAAGATGTATGTCTTACGTAATAAAGTGAATTGAATTGAATTTCTCTAAAATCTCAAAAATAAAAAAAAAAATCTTAAATTATCTTAATGGCTAACGTTCTTAATTAAAAAAAATATTTATTACATAATATTTGATATATATCTTGCATAACAAACATATTAAAATTAAAATGAATAATTTTAACTTTATCAATACGATGATAAACAGCAGCTCGCTTCGAAATTAGATCGGGCGTGGTGTACGGTAAACAGTAATGGCGCCCGATTTCTGTCGACTCTGAGGTAAAATTGGCTATAAAAATTTACGGATATCGATATCATTCATTTAAACATCACCTTAGGGTTTTATGTACCCCATTTCATTCAATTTTATGGGGCTTTTACCACTTTATTGGGGCTTCTACCCTTCTATATGGGTATTCTTCAAAAAACGGGGGGCTTCTGGAATTTCCAGTCACCCTTCGGGAAGACTAGATATACCGCTTGCCGCTTACCGCTTGCCGTTACTACTCGGCGCTACTTCCGTCGAGGCCTCAGAGAGACATTTGATTTTTCATTATTTTTGTGAGTAAACAAACTAAAATTTGCGAGACTTAAAACAGAGGGAAGCATCCGAAGAGTTTGTCTGTAGGAGTTTACCGGAGACATACGGCGTTGAAAATTAACTTTCTACTTTTCATCAGTTTCATTTTGTGGGATGAAAATACCAGTTGCCGTTGAATTCAGGTTTATATATTTATATATATGTGTGTGTGTACATGTGATCAATAGGGGCCTACATATACATTATACAGTAACGCTATTTATCATATCATTGCATTGACAGGTCTTGAAGGGGACCACGGTGGTTTGGTTAATAGCTATAATCTACAGCGTCGTGCCATAAGTATTCGCGGAAAAATGGCGGACGTGATTTGAGAGTTATCGCGCTTGCAACATAAAAGTCACCCAAATACAACAAAAACAAAACAAACGCTTACCTTTAGTACTTTGTTAAATGTCCCTTGGATCGTATACATGCCATGATGCGTTTTGGGATGGATTTATAAAAGTTTTGAATATATTCTATGGTGAAATTCTGCCAAGTGTGTAAAATAACATCGAACAGCCGGTGCGTCGATTTACCCAAAAGGACCCAAAAGAACCCAAAAGGACCCAAAAGGAACCCAAAAGGAACCCAAAAGGACCCAAAAGGAACCCAAAAGGACCCAAAAGGAAATTAAGAACGACCCAAAAGGACTTGAAATAAAGAGATTAAATGGATATATAATGAATACTTTCATATTTTATTAAAACTAAAACTAGTTTTTGGAGGGTAAAGTGCGTGTTTGGGTTGAGGTGGGCCCCCCCCCATCCCCCACCCCACCCATCCCCGATACCATATGCCTAGAACATGTCATTAAATAAACTTATTTCTTTATTTATCAAATATCATATAATAAGATATAATAAAACAGAAGGAGAAATAGAATAATACAGTGCACTAAAATTTGTTAAATTCAGCTAAAAGAAATCAAAGCATATCTGACCAGATTTAATTAAGGAATGACTCTAATTCTTGGCCAGATTATCGAGTATAATATGGTTTGGGTCAGTTTACGCTTTATAATCCGCGAAGCGAAGCGGATTATACTCGATAAAAGAATTTGAGTCATTCCTTATAATTTAATTTTAAAATAATTAAACAACTGGGGATGTAAAATTGTGTTGTTTTTATTCGTTCAAATTTACCGCGCAATAATACAACCGTAGTAACGGAAGTGATGGGAAGCAAGGGGAGGTAAAAACTGATACATAGATCTAGCAGCCATGATGCTTGTTTACATGAGGTAAGATCGAGCAACTGTTTGAAGTTAAAGGTACATTCATTAAATCTGGAATTTTTCATGAATCCGAAGGACTGGAAATGAGGGGATTGATGGATACAGATGATTCAGCTGGTTGTCAAGGGGGTGTGTCCCCATACCAAACCAGATTATACAAAATGTTATGCGTTCCTTTTTGGAAATCAACCAATGAGAGACAAGAATACAAACAGAATTAAATTATTGATTGATGTGTTATAAAAGTCGTATGTTATTTCTTTAAGAAAAGTTGCAACAATATAAATGTATGTTTTTGCCAATTTTTAGGTAAATTTATAATATAATATTCATAATTTAATTCAAATTATTAATTTTCAATGTATTATAATATATTAGTTCGAGTCCTTTTGGTTTCCTTTTGGGTCCTTTTGGGTTCCTTTTGGGTCCTTTTGGGTCCTTTTGGGTTCCTTTTGGGTCCTTTTGGGTCCTTTTGGGTAAATCGACGCACCCTCGAACAGCTGATCAGGGGTGGTAATATCTCCGGCGTGATTTTGGATCTGTCTTTTAATTCTATGCCAACAATTTTCAATGATATTAATGTCCGGACTCTGGGCCGGCCACACCATACCCCGAATATTATTTGCACATTTATATTCCTCTACAACACGAGCTCTCTGTACCGGCGCATTATCGTCTTGAAAAACGTATTTGTTTGCAGGGAAATGTCGGGCAATAACAGGCCACAGATGATTGTCAAGGATGTTTATATATTTCTCAGCATTAATGTTACCTTGTACCTTGCATAGAGTCCCTGGACCATACCAGCTGATGCATCCCCATATCATTACGGAAACTTTGGATTTTGAAATCGCATACATGCACTCCGGACGGTACGATTCCTGGGCGGATCTCCAGACATACACACGATTATTTTGCCCTATAACCACTTGAGATTCATCACTAAATATGATAGGTTTCCAGTTTTGTTCAACAGTCCATCTTTGTTTGAGTAAACACCATGCTAAACGTTTCTTTCTATTTACTTCTTTGACAACCATACGTTTCCTCACTACTCTTCTGTAAATTTTGTTATTATGTAAAATCCGCTTGACTGTCCGTTCACTAATAGGTTCACAATAATTTCCATCATTAAAATCAGTTGTTATGTCCTTCAAAACACTTCCAAGGTTCTTCCTAACCATACGAAGTAATCTTACTTCACCACGTTTTGACACTTTCCTGGGACGTCCCGATCGAGGAGCTCTTTCCACACTTTTTCGCTGATGAAACGTTTTCAAAATTGATCTACATCTAGATTCGGGAATTTTCATAATTCTTGAGATCTCACTGACTTTATGTCCGTTTTCTTACAAATCTTTAATCAGCTGTTTTATCCCTAGTGACAGTTCTTTTGATTTTCTACCCATGTTGTTTAAAGTCCGTACTATTCGGCAGTCTAACTTTAGCAGACGTCAAACATGACATCACAAACTTTGACCTCACGCGGTTTCGGGGATGATGTCAAAATACAAAAAAGCGATTGCATAATGATTTAGAACGATTTGAAAAAAACGCGAAGCGTGAACGTTTACGACGTCCGCCATTTTCCGCAAATACTTTTGGCACGATGCTGTAGCTGCAAAATTGTAGCTATGTTGTATGTTAGTTTGCCCTAAAAATCAGTTGCCGTTCGCCCAAATTCCCGTTAGCCCAGAGTTCGGTTGCCCTAAACCTTGTTTGCACAGGGTCTGTTCCAGTTCGCTGTATTTAATCAGGTCCAGTACAATCTCTTGATTTAGCTATATAGCTTTAAATAGCTATATAGCTTTATTAATGTATTACTATAGCTTAATTTAGCTAATTTACTACACTTTTTCTTAAAGGTGTAATTTTCTCAGAATGTAAAAAAAGCCCACCTTGGTGCAGTGATGATATACAACTTTGAACTCTTCTTAAAGTGCATGTAAAAATCACTCATCAAATTACGTCTCCGTGAGAGACTTCGTACTCAAAGTTCTACAAGTTTTGGGGCTATATAAAGCAATTGATACAGTTACTTCTGCAATGATATTATAATGGAGACCAATTATGTTCAACAAGATAATTGATTGGTAACAGTTCAGCACAATGAGAAGTAATCATACTTTTCCTTGCCTCAAGGCACCCAAGGTAGTGGACAGTTAGTCTAACAATAGAAATTTTCTTTTTGCTTAAAAGTATTCAAAAGCTGCAAAGTTAGAACTATCTTTGATTTTGGTTGTTGTTTTAATAGTCCATAATACATGTATGAAGAGTCAAATACATGCGAAATTTTGTTTATTTTCAGCAAAAAACATTTTTGTGAAAATCTTTATATAAATAGCTAAATAACGCTATTTTGAATAGCGTAATAAAGCTATATAGCTATTTAAAGCTATTAATATAGCTAAATCAAGAGATTGTACTGGACCTGTTAATATAGAATAAGAATTTTCATTTTCCATCTTCTTATTAAATCATTTCTTGAGATCAAAGGGAGAGATTCTTCAAAGGTATAATCTTCTTTATTCGCTGTTCAGTTCCGACAATGGACTTATTAATGCCCCAAGTCCTTCAATTGTTTTCAAAACATAGCACAATTCGTAAATATACCACGGATGTATTCCCCTAATTAACGTTGATATTAATCATCTAATTAACTATAATGCAAACACTAAGGCCTTCAAAAAACATTAGAATCAAATTAAAAATTAATTAAGACTAAATAAATATCATTCTTCGTATCATTTGAAAAATAAAAATCCCAAGTTTGAAAGAAATTAAAACCGGAATAGAAAATACATGTTATAATATTTAATTCATATAGTATTGGGTATATACAGCTGTATATAAATATAGGGCGAAGAAGATATTGGGCGAACAATATTTCGCTTGAATGGACTCCTGCTAACAGGTAGATCGAGCGAATGAACCCTGTACCCTCTCTGCTTGAGAAAATTCGGACAGATAAGGCAAATAGCTACAGATCCATGCATTGTACCGGTAAAACCTTTGATTAAAGCCGCTGATTTATTGTCTTGTTTGAACATATTTCATTGTATAATTCATACAAAGGGATTGGTAACAAGTTCTTGCAACTTAGATTAACCTTTCCTTTTAATATATACAATAATTATAACTATACTAATAGTGATTGCCAGAATGATTACTGTCGCTCGCTTTAGGTATTATTTCTGGACTGTTTAGCTTTCTCCAGCTTTAAGAATGATACCTGATAATCGATAAGGTGAAAAACAATAAATGCTATAAATAATACCTGAAGTGAGCAACAAAAAAGCAGTGATGAAGGTTTTTACAACACTTGGATTTGTAGCTTTCTCCTTTATATGTCTGAATTTTATCAGGCAGAGAGTTACAGTTCTGCACCTAGTAAATAGCCAGACATCTTGGCCCAATGAGACCTCAGCCCGTGAGATTCATAACTTGGGCCCAGAAAGGTTGGCCAAAAATTAATAACAAGCCGGACCATTTAAGACACACTCTCTAAGTATAAGAGATATCTCTCTAAGTACAGGAGATATCTCTAGAAGATATCTCTAGTTTAGGAGATATCTCTTTCTCATAGAGATCAATATCTCTTAAAAATGAGAGATATCTCTTTAATTTGGGAGATATCTCTATTTTTTAAGAGATATCTCTCTAAATTGAGAGATATCTCTGTAATTTTATGATAGATTTTATTTTCTGAATAAATAGCAAAAGGGCTTACCATGGACCTGTCGTATCCAAGGTGACATTGGGTCGAGATGTCATTGGGCCGAGGTGGGCCGAGGAATTATGTGGTAAAAATCTTTAAATAAACCTCCTCTTTACATGTACATGAATACCAAAGCCGTGATGAATCAGCAGTAATACAATGCATGTGAAAAAATTGTATTGTATTTTCCATTGCAGTTTCTATTTACTTGTGGATCTCGATCTAGAGACTCCTTTAAACCTTACAGCTTCCATTGATGTTTATCATGCACTTAGAATTAGTTTTTGAAATAATTTCCAGGCAATGGCTTGTGCCATTTGAATATATTTTAGATCTGACAATTAAGTTTTACAAACCATACCATATTATATTATTCATTTTCCCTCATATAATTTAGTGAGTTCCATTTCAGTGGTGGGGCCGAGTTGTTGTTCGACAAAGTGAAAAAGCATGATGTAGAACTGCCAAACTCTGAGAAAAAATGTAAGGAACATATTTCCCAGGAAGACTGAAGTTTATTTTTTTCTTATAAATTACTTGGGCAACAGTAATTATTAGTTCACAAGAACAAACTGCTCCAATAAGCTTTTCTAATCAAAGTTTATGGTGTGTCTTTGGGAGTACAGTAATTAAGACATGAATGAAGTTTGCAGGATACAATGTAATCCTAATGTCCTCTATGCCTAGCTCCAAGTCTGTCTAGCTCTCTTTCTGTAGAGTTAAAAAAATCTCTAATGCCAACTTGTGTTTTTTAAAATTTGTGGATATATTTTGCTATATGCTCCACATATTATAGATTAAATTGTCTTGATCTCGCAATTTTTTTACACTGTTGTGACTATTTGAAAGATTCTTTTTCAGTATATACTTTTAATTATTGAAATTTTTTTTTTTTTTAAATTTAATGTAGTTTTGACAAAAACAGAAGAAAGCCTTTATTCAGAGAAAATGCAGACTAAACTTTAAATATGAATTTCATTATCCCCCCCCCCCCTTTGGGACCTGAGGGTTGGTCAAGGCTTAAACAATCGAATTGGTGCCGTATCTCTTTCAATTTCTGGACATCAATCAGTCAAACTGTTGGCAAAATTGCAACAAGCATTGCAATTGAACCCTCAATCAAAATTTTGAAATTCATGGCACAAGGTTATTAAAGGGTTCTACTTCTGGAGTTAGGTTGGTTGGGATAGGTTGGGGTTTTAATGATCATACAGTGAAAATGCATTTGTATTCTTTTTATTCTTTTATTTTATTTTTTTTAAATAGGGAAAATACGTCATCTTTTGACATATATCAGAGATAACCTACTGAAAGAACGTCCAGAACTATTTATGCAAGGAGACACAGTGTGAGTAGAACATGGTTTAAATTTCCTTTCTGCCTACATGCTCTTTTGTGTTTTAATTGTTTGACTCATTACTCTTTTCTTTTCAGAAGACCTGGAATCTTGGTGTTGGTCAATGATGCAGACTGGGAACTACTAGTAAGATATTTATATCAACAGCCTCTTAATTAGCTTAAAAATGCAATTTATTAATATAAACTAGAAGGTAGGATTCTTCTCTGGTTTCTGACTAGATGAAATATCAAAATATATTTGCTTATATAGTGTTGAATAATTGGGAAAATTTCATAATCGATAATCGGTCAAAATCGGAGAAGCTTAATCGATCAATGATCGACTTAATTGGTAATTAAGATTTCAAATACAAAATTCTATTTCTTTATAGCATTTATCATTTATGGAACAAACTAAAAATAACATTCTATCAAGTTTATTCTAAAGACAACTTTGTGTTGTATAAGTAACAAAGAAACAGAAAAAAATTTACATATTTGCTCATAAAAACAAAATGTTTGTAATGCCATCAGATTTTGTATTCCCTAGTTAGAATAATCTGACTGTGTTTGATACAAGCCCTCACCACAGTTAGAATACGTCCCATATACTTGCAATGTACTATAGCAAATCGGAGCAGATCCGCTCCGAAACAATTTTGAAGAATATAAAAGGATTTGCACTGGAAATAACTTCCAAATTAATCAAAACAAATCTGACTATATTTTTGGGGGAATGGTGGCGTATGAAAATATCTTTTCTGCCTCTCAAAATTCTTAAAGGACAAAACGAATTTAGTTATAATTTTTACATAATCAAATCTTGAAAAAAAATTCAAATGAAAGTTAAATTAATAATAAGGGACTTACGTTTCAAAATGTATAAAATAAATATGATTTTCCAAACAAACTAGAACTATGTAACTTAGCTTGTAAAATCTCCCAATCTATAAGTACATATTTGAACCCATCTTCGCTAGTCAAGGGTGACGATCTTAAAGAGGATAGGAGCGGATCATCACCTTTGGCTAGCAAATAGTTTGAACCAAAAATCTGTAAAAAATTAGTATTTTTTCTCTCTTAGTAAACAATCAATTTTTTTTTTGTATCATTTTGTATCTTCATGTGACATTTCATCTGTTAAAAAGTAAGAAAAATTTAAATATAAGAAGCATATGAAAATAACAAATGTATCCAAAAAAAAAAAAAATAGCCGAGAAAATTCGGATTAGCTAATATCCATTTATCCTAACAACTAAGGTTGGCTTCTGATATTTAAAGTCTTAAAAATTTTTTTGTCCAGTTTATTTTTATTTTCTATACACAAAGGTAAACTGAAAATCAAATAAAAATATGGGGGTCAATATATGCTTCTTTTGGTGCTACAGAACATTAAATATGACCATTTTTGCACTGAAATTTGTTTCTTAATCAAAAATTACATCTTCAACATTTTCCCTTCTGTATTTTTATCCAAATAAAGCCTGGAGAAAATAAACTAGAAGTCTATTTTAAAAAAGACACTTTAGAATTGTGACTTGGAAAAAGTTTCAAACTGCTTCGCATAATCAATTATTTGACCTTTCTGCACTCACAAAATGTGATTTTTCTGGCACTGAAAATTTAAGAAGCAAGAAAATTATTCTTAAACTTTTGCAGAATTTAAGCAGATAGGTCAAAGTTATCTTAAATATTCAGAAAAGAACATCAAAAGTGGTGGTATATGATGTAAATATTGAGATATTACTAAGAATGTGTAAATTTTATGTTAAAATTGGCTCCATTTTTTCTTTGTCTTTCAGAATATATTGACTATACATGTATTAGTCATTATTCGTCAAAAGAATTCATCATGTTCTTAAGAACTAATAGAGAACAAGCATAACACATTTCACTGCAAAAAACAGCTTTGTGTGCAGCCAGCATGCATGGAAAAATAGGAATCTAAATTCAATGTTAAAACTTAAAATTATGCAGAATTTTAGAAATAAAGGTCCAGACCAAAAATGATTCAAAAACACAGGATTAAACGTCCTTAAATTATTTATGTCATTTTGGTAATACATGTATTATCTTATATGCCCTATATGGTAGTATTTTTTTTTATGCAAAAAGAAAAACATTTGATCTTTTGAAATGAAAATAAGGATCACATGGTTGGCAACATAAAATTTTTCGTAATGTCCAGGGAAAAGGTAATGACCTTGACCTGAACTTGCCTCTAATATAAAATGGTCAAAGAGGATGTTGCAGTTCTTTTGTTATTTTCCCTGAATATGTAGCAGATAAAAAGAAGAAATTTGTGTTACAGAAACTGATATTAATTTTACTCAAATGCAACAGTATAATAGTACAATGAGGAACAATATTTGGAAGCTGCATATTGACTTCTAATTTGCCATAAAATGAAGTTTAAATTAGTCTCACACCAAAATATGTAAGATTTTCGGATTTTTAGGTAGGGAATCCCCATTATTCTTAAAAATTGCCTACTTGAACACAATAATCTTGATATATGCACAAAGGCAGGAGTTTTTTTCAAAACTGCCATTTCCGATTTTCGTTTCAAAGAGGTACATTTTTTAAAAACGTTAAAAATGAGTAAAAATTATTCTCCATACGAAATGCAAAATGTGTACATAAATAACAATGGTCATCATCGTGTCCGAAATAATCTAGTGGATACGCTGATGGACTGCTATCTGATATAGCACTTTTACCAGAACATGGATTCGAATCCTGGAGTGGATCATTTTTTCTTAATTTTTTTTTCAATTTCTTTTTGCTATGGAAATGCAATGAAATATCAATTTTTTATAGGAGAGAGGGAGAGTGCACAAGATCTAGAGAGAGAGAAAGAGAATGTCAAGAAGTTAATGAGTAACTATATATTAAACATGCAGGTTTAAATTGTTTTCCTTTATATCCTGTGACTTAAAACTAATGACATATGAATGATTATCCCCCCCTTCGAAGAAGGAAGGGCATATTGCTTTGATACTGTCTGTTGGTCTGTCGGTCCATTTAGTTTCCGTTCATTTTCTTCACAGCTGTTGCACATACTGAAATGAAATTTGGTATACAGGTATATCAGGTAAATATTTAGGTCAAGTTCTGCTTTGGGTACAATCACCCCATTTCTCACAGAGTTATGCCCCTTGGACTTAGAAAACTTCCACTTATTTACAGTTTCCGTTCATTTTCTTTGTAGAGGTTGCACATACTGAAATGAAATTTAGTATACAGATTTATTAGCTGAATATCTAGGTAAAGTTCTGTTTTGGGCAGGACTGCACCATCAGACTTAAAAAAATTCTACTTATTTGCAGTTTCCCTTCATTTTCTTCGCAGAGGTTGCACATATTGAAATGAAAGCTGAAGGTCAAGTTCTGTTTTGGGTATAATCGCTCCATTTTTGTTAAGAGTTATGCCCCTTCAACTTGGAAAAATTCCACTTAATTGCAGTTTCCGTTCATTTTCTTTGCAGAGGTTGCACATATTGAAATGAAATTTAGTATACAGATTTATCAGCTGAATATCTAGGTCAAGTTCTGTTTTGGGTATGATCGCGCCATTTTTGATAGAGTTTATGCCCCTTGGACTTGGACAGTAATTACATGTATTTAACCCCGTATTAACACAGAAAAATTTCAATTTTGGGGAGGGGGCATAAGTGTTTTACAAACATTTCTTGTTTAGTACATGTATTGTTAAAATAATTTTTTTTTTTAACATACAGTTGTTTACTCATTTTGATTCATATTCCATCTCTTATATCAGTAGCCAAGATTTGACTTGAAACAAATGGAATGTCTTGGATGTAGCACTAACAAAGTGATTATGGGACATTTAATTTCATGAAAAATATATTTTTGCACAATGTCTACAGTATATAAAACTTTCAAAATGGTGTTTTTATTGTTCTAACCTTCCTTGTGCAAAATGGCGATAGTGATATACATGATTAAAAAAATTAATAAAATAAAAAGGACAACATTCACTAAAAGGTTGCCAATCAGTTCCTATGTGAGGAAAAACTATGCATGATATAAACCTAAAATGTGAAGAAGCAGGGAATATCCGCTGTAAGCATTGTCCCCTACGTTCCTGTATATATATATATTTAGATCAACATAACGCAGGTATTTAAATGTCCTTCTCGATACATAGGGAATAATTGTGAGTTTCTGCAACACCCTCCTTAATCTTAATGATACCATCTTTTAGTGATATTGTCTTTTGATTCTGTGAAAATTTCATTAGTATTTAAATACAAGAAGAATCTTACTTTTAAATGTGGCATACTCCAAAGGTTGCTAATTTAGAACTGTGTTCCTCTATGATCTTTTATCTAGCATAACAGGTTGATCTTGCCTATGGACTGCTGTAAGTTTGTGCTATTTAACCTAAAAATCTCTAAGTTATAAAAAACCCACAACATTATAAGATGTTGGTTCAAAGATGTCTTTTTTTGTACACAATATGTGCTGAAAGTATGAAAATGGGTATTGCAAAAACATTTATCTGTGGGTTAGGTTGCAGGAACACTTGTTTCTATTTAATAGTTAACTAAATGTTTAATCTATACAATGTAAATGAAATTAAAACTAAATAGAGTTGAATATTTATGTTAGCGAATGCTGATTTATTTACTTGGTACCTTCATTCATTACATTTACATGTATTATCTTACAGGAACAGTATTGACTTAAATTTTCCATTTCATCCTTTTTATTTTCTTTTAGGGTGAACTTGATTATGAACTTCAACCAAATGACAGAATTGTATTCATATCTACATTGCATGGAGGATGACATTCCAAGAAATAATATTCATTAGACTTGTTTCCAAGCCATTCCCAGAACAATGGGAGTTAATGGAGAGTGACATGCTAAACACCGCCTTACTCTGTTACAGAGTTGAATTAAAAACAATTTAGGGCACACTAAATTTGTCTAAACTTTACACCCAGTGAACACTTTTCCATCAAGTGCAAAAGTGTACTCACTTTTACTTTGTTTAATATATACATATAATAACTCTGCAAATTCCATCTAGATTCCTACATGATGAATATGCTCTTTAAAAAAAATTGCCTCTTCATAAAATGTTTTGTTTGTAAATGTATTTTTTTTTAAAAATCACAAGTACAACAAATATTTTTTAAAAAAATCTTCCGCAAATAGGATCCAATCAGCTGGTTGAAATTTTAATGATCATATTGAATATGCTACAATACACCCAATTTCACTTGAGTACAAGGTGTATATGTCTACAGCAGGTGAAGTATGGTGTAGACAAATCAAGCATGCCCATAAGTTATGAGAATTATTGCAATGTGAATTAAAACAAAATGAACCAATGTACTGTATGTATGTATGCATGAGCTCATGGAAAGAAAGATGTATAACTGACCTTGCCCAATTGTCTTTGGTTTACAAATATGACAGAATTCTAGGTCAGTTTTTTCCCAAATATAGCCCCAATCCTGACGTTTCATCTTCAAATACAAACAATATTTTGTACAGCCCATTTCTATGTAAAAGAGAAATTGTAGACTGAAAGGGGAAAGTGTACGGGCATATTTCAGTGTGATGGGAGTTAAATATTGGCTTGTATTTATTGATATGTTTACAATTATTCATTATAAATACACAATGCTTTCATTAGAAATACTTTGTTATACACACTGAAATCAAACAAAATACCCTTTGCTAATATCTAACCAGTAAACCAAGGGTGTAAAAAGGGACCACGTTACTATACTTCAGTAGAATGTCTGAGTCTGTAATATTGGGTTTGGCTATTTGACCTTGGTTTGGGGTCATATCTTATTTATTATCATAATCAGCCTTTGGAACAAAGTTTGATCTTATCGTAACATTTTATTGCAGAAAACTTCTTACATTTTAATGTCTAGATGAGCATTGTCATAATACTGATGAGAAGAATTTAATTATTAACAAGAGGCCAAAAGGCCTCAACTTCTGATAAATTGTACAACTATCAATTCTATTTGAAACCTCATATTTAGATAAAGCCTTAAAATTCCAAAAGAAAGTAATCTTGATTATTGGTCAATACACTCTGAAAACTCAAGATGCATTAATTGACAAAGTTTGATGATTTTAAGCCACTTTTTGTTTGAAATATATGAATAGCCATGAAATTTGAAAAGTATGTCTGAGTGACCTCCTTTTTGGATAACATACTCTGACACCTCAAAATTTGTAAACTAACAAAGTTTAAGGATTATAAGCCTTACTTGAAATATTTCAATACTGCCCTGTAATTCCACAAGTGACCTACGTTTTAGTAGTCACATAACGAAGACCTAATTCTATTCCGTTCAGTAACTAAATTATTTAAATACTGCCATAAAATTCTGAAAGTAGGTAATTGTGGTGTACTTCTCAGTTAAAATACCTAAGATGCATAAACTGGCAGTTTGATAACCCTATGCCAACCTGAAATATTCAAATAAATTATTAAACAAGAGGCCCATGGGCCACATCGCTCAACTGAGCTAGGAAAAAAAGTGGAATCATGGTTTGAACAAATGTGAATACATGTACATTACCAATAATGATGCTTCCATATCAATATAACTAAACATGGCTTTTCTGTACTATAAAAGAGGATTTTTTTATATAAAAAAGTTTGATTGTTTATTTTGCTCCGCCCTACCTTGGGGGTCATGATTGCAACAAACTTGATTCTACACTACCTGAGGATGCTTCCACCTAGTTTTATCTTTCTTGGCCCAGTGGTTCTTGAGAAGAAGATTTTTAAAGATTTTTCCTATATATTCCTATGTGAAACTTTTGATTCCCTATTGTGGCCCTGCTCTACCCCCGGGGTCAGGATTTTTTTTTAATAGACTTGATTCTACACTACCTGAGAATGCTTCCATTTAAGTTTCATCTTTCTTAGCCGAGTGGATCTTGAGAAGATTTTTAAAAGATCCCATTAATTTTTCACTAATTCATAATTATCTACCCTGAGATTTTAATTTATCTGCTGAAGGGTGTGGCCCTTCATTTGAACAACTTTAATCTCCTTCACCTGAGGATACTTTTGGCAAGTTTGGTTGAAATTGGCCCATTGGTTCTTGAGAAGATGAAAATGTTAAAAGTTTACAACGACAACAACAATAACGACGACAGACAACAGTGAGCTAAAAATGATGTTAAATATGGCCACGGCATTCAGAAAAAAAATCCCAAAATACCTGACTTTTGATCAATTCTCAAAAACTTACTTGTTTACCTGCCATTTTCGTCCGACATACGTCGTTTGTCAGTCATAAACTTTTGAACATTTTTAGCTTCTTCTCTGGAACTAATGAACCAATTCCAACCAAATTTGGTATACAGCATCTATGGGTAAAGGGGAACAAAAATTGTGAATTTCATTGTCCCCGCCCCCTAGGGCCTGAGGGATGGGGCCAAAACCCCTAAAATTAATGAAATCTTTAAAAATCTTCTTTACTCCTGGACATCAAGCAGTCAAACTGTTGGTATGAATGTAATGAACATTGAGTCCTAGTGCAAGGGCGGGGCTATATAAGATTATAAAGTGAAAATGCCTAATTTCTTTGAAAATCTTCTTTGCTCCTGGATATTAAATAAACTAACTAAGTGCATAGTTTATGATAAGCAAGAGTGCCTATTCCAAAATTATGAATTTTATGGCCCCAGGGTCAGGGGTTCTGCTGTTAGGGCAGGCTCTGTTGATTATATAGTGAAAAAACATTAATTCTGTGAAAATCTTCTTCAGAATCTCTGTTCCTCGGTACATGTATTATATAAACTAATTAAGTACATAGTTATGATGAGCAAGAGTGCTTTATACAAAATTGTGAATTTCATGGCCCCAGGGTCAGGGGTTTGGTGTTAGGTCTGGCTCTGCTCCTGGGTATTAAATAAATTAACTAATTAATAGTTATGATAAGCAGGATGCCTCTTTCAAAATTGCGAATTTTATGGCCCCAGGGTCAGGGGTTCTGGTGTAAGGGCGGGGCTCTATTGATAATATAGTGAAAATGCAATAATTCTTTGAAAATCATCTTCTCTAGATCTGCTCCTAGGTATTAAATAAACTAACTTAGTATAAGTACATAGTTATGATGAGCAAGAGTGCCTTGTTGCAACCACTATTGAAATAACGACCACTATTGAAATGATTATTTCAATAGTGGTTGAGAGTGCATTTCAATAACAAACATAATATGCAAACACTATTGAAATATGACCATTATTGGAATAATTATTTCAGTAGTGGATTGGAGTGTACTTCAATACCAAATACTAGTATAGGTTGCTAACACTATTGAAATAATGTTCACATTTGAAAGTAGTTCAAGAGGATTGAAGTGTCCGTGTATTAATTGAAATTTCTGCAAAAAATATTATGTTAGAAAAGAGAATGTACATGTAATCCATCCTTATATTTATTTTAATATTTTGGATACTTCTATACAGCTTGCAATGTTATTTTGGAATTAAAATCATTGTCAGCAACTGTTAATTATTTTGATATCTATTGGAATCATTGTTTAAAGCACTATTGAAATCAATATTTCAATCACTTTTGAAATATATATTAATCGCTATTGAATATTTATTTCAAAAGTGAAAATTATTTCAATAGTGGTTGAAACCTGATGTTTGGAATTAAAATGCACTCCAAACGGTGTGTTCCCTGAACGTCTACTCATTATAAATTTATTTTATTATCACCCTCAATTAAGGTAATTCCACTCTCCTATGATGTCATAGGTTTTTGCAAAAACTGTTTTTAGTCTGAAATAGTACCTGATAGAACAATATCTTTTGGAGGAATGCTTTTCAGTAAGTGTACTGATAAATCTTGTAAAGTAAAGGAATTTTAAAAATGCATTTTTCTTTATTTAATCAATTATTCAATCCTTAAAAAATATTGACAAGGGCAATAACTCCTTCTCAGGTCTCAATTCAAAAGTGTTTTATAAGTAGGAAATATTTAGGAACATTCAGCATCAAAATTATGCATTTTAACCAGTTTTTATTGCGCATTTTTCATAATACTGTTTACAAAAAATGTGCGATTTTTTTTGTTCACATATACTTCTGTTTATTTATACATCCCATCTTAAATAATATGGCAACCTATACATTTTTTGCAATAATTGAAAATTTTAAAGTATATTAAATGAAAATAAATGCAGTTTTAAGCTCACCTGAGCCGAAGGCTCAAGTGAGCTTTTCTGATCACATTTTGTCCGTCTGCTGTCCGTCCGTCCGTCTGTCTGTCCGTCTGTAAACTTTTCACATTTTGAACAATTTTGACCAAACTTGGTACAAAGCATCCTTGGGTAAAGGGGAATTTAAATTGTTAAAATGAAGGGACATATCCCCTCGCAAGGGGAGATAATTATGAAAAGAAAAAATAGGGTGGGGTCATTTTAAAAAATCTTATATCTCAAGAACCACTGGGCCAGTAAAGATGAAACTCATGTGAAATCACAGGTAGTGTAGATTCAAGTTATGTTCAAATCATGACCCCCAGGGGGAGGCGGGGCCACAATGGGGAATCAAAGTTTTACATAGAATATATATATATCTTTTAAAAGGGATCTATTAAAGAAGGTTTGTGCAAATCATGACCCCCTAGGGCGGGGCCACAATGGGCAAAGTTTTATATAGCAATATATAGGAAAAACCTTTTAAAATCTTCTTTTTACTTCAAAGCCATGAAAAGTGATATTTATTGGAAGCATCCTGGTATAATGTAGATTCTAGTTTGTTCAATGGCCCCCCGGGGGTATATTTTTCTGATATGTGCTTTTATATAAATAATCTTCTTCTCAAGAACCACCCAGAAATTTGCCCACTTTAGCAACAGGGATTAAAAACCAAATTTAATTCTTCATATAACTTTTTAATAAACATTATATCAAAATTATTTTGATTTTTTTTTTTAAGAAATGTGTTAAGATATTTTTACACAAATCATTTGGAAGAGAATTGATAATTTTGAAAAATTTTACAATAATCTGAAGTTTTTGTCGTAAGTTCTTTTGTAAAACTGGCCCCTGGTTTAGTGTAGATTCTAAATTGTTCAAATCATAATATATCAAAGTTTTACCTTTATCTCACCACGGCCAGAAAAGCTGAAACTTATGTGGAAGCATCCTGGTATAATGTAATTCTAAATTGTTCAAATAATGACACCCGGGGGAAGGGCAGGGCCACAATGGGGAATCAAAGTTTTGTATAGAAATATATAGGAAAAATCTTTGAAAATCTTCTTCTCAAGAACCACTGGGCCAGAAAAAGTGAAGCTTATGTGGAAGCATTCTGGGGGAGTGTAAATTCTAAATTGTAGGAATCATGACCCCCGGGGAAGGGCGGGGCCATTATAGGGAATCAAACTTTAACATAGAAATATATAATCTTCTTCTCAGGAACCACTGGGCCAAAAAAGCTTAAACATATGTGCCCATGGAAGGATCAAGGGGTAGTGTAGATTTCAAAATGTCTAAATTATGATCAGTGGGGTAGGGTGGGGATGCATTATGTATAACAAGGGTGAAATCTGGTAAAGAACAGAATGGTCAAAGCTTCTCAAGCGTGATGTGGCCCATGGGCCTCTTGTTGTACTTTGAACCATTAGAATTGTGAGGGTGGAAG